AGGGGACCTGTGTCGGGGCATCTGGACGGTCTGCCTCCGCGATCCTTGTGCCTCTGCAGGGCCCTCTCGGGCTCCCAGTTGCTGCTCCTCCCAGGAGAGGAGCGTTTTTCTCAGGAATTCGTTTTCCCTTCACAAACAGCAGCTCCCTGCCCCACAGCCTCGCCATTCCTGGAGACGCTGCGCTGCCAGCTACCCTCGGCTCCCAGGACATGCCGGAGAGCGCAACCAGCCTGACGGTGTGTTTCAGAAGAGAGCAGCGCTGCCTTTGCATCTCCCAGTCCTAGAAAAACCCTCTTTTTGACAACATCATTTCCAAGCGATGTAACTACAGAGAACAGAGCCATGGCAGCCTCCACCTTCCCAGGCATCGCGAGGCTGCACTGCCAGACCGCAGAGCCCTCCCGCGCCCCTGCTTTCTCAGCTGTATAATTTGGGGGTCGGTTCTTTCGGCGGAGGTGAATGGTGCATTGGCACAAACAAGAGGTGTTTGGGAAGCGCGCCCAGCCTGGCAGAGCGCGCGGCCGAGCGGCGGCATTGCTGGGGCAGGCCGGAGCATCGGACTGTCTGGAATGTGGAATGTAAACAGAGCGTGTTACCAGCAACAGCCCCGCTTCGTGCTATAACCCAAACCTACTCTGCTGTCTCAGGAGGAGCAAACCCCACGCTCCTGCCTGCTCAAATTGCAGCCCAGGGGCCACTTGTCCTGTTGGATCAAATCATAAGGGTAAATAAGCTGTGCCCCTTCTCCCCCTCAACCCCCCCAGCCCTGGCATTTTCAGCTATTGAAACTCCAGCCTCAGCCTCCGTAGCTTGCACTGGCTTTAGGAAGCGAGGGAAAGGCGCCGTGCTGGGAGCCGAGTGCTGAGGGCTCGGGCTGTGCTCCCGGGGCTGAGGAGCGCTGGGCCCGGGAGGGAAGCGCCTTGGGTTCGTCTGAGCTACCCGCACACTGCCTTGCTCTGGATAAGCACAGCAGGGAACAACTCCACCGGCTGGCTATTCATAAATGTTTTCCTGCTTTAATGTTTTCAAACATCTTAAACTGATGAACACAAACCTTGAATGCCTGCTCACCAGAGGCTGCGTTTGCAGGATGGCCCCTGAAGACTGTCCTGAGATCTCGAGGCAGGACTGGTGAGTGTGAGCAGGGGCAGATCAGCCAGCAAAGGAGAGGAACCAGCTGTGGTCCCACTCACCCCGAGCTCTGCGCTGTCATCGTGAGGTTAGCCAGCCCTGTGACCTGAAATAAAATTCAATAGCTTCAGCCCATACCTCCCTGTTCATCTGCCATGGGAGCATGCCGGGCTCGGCTGGGATCTGGCTCCGAGGTGCTCCATAACGGGAGAAGGGTGCTGCAGGTAGCACCCAGGCTGGGTGATGAAAGACAAGAGTGGCTGCCCACAGGTCACAGGGAGCTGCGGCCAGCACCGGGACTGGGACCAGGGCTCCTTTGTCCTGAACCTAGCAAGGGTCATAGAATCATAGAACCATTTAGGTTGGAAAAGACTTTTAAGATCAAGTCCAGCCATTAACCTAGCCCTGCCAAGTCCACCACTAAGCCAGGTCCCTAAGCATCACATCTACACATCTTTTAAATACTTCCAGGGATGGTGACTCAACTGCTTCCCTGGGCAGCCTGGTCCAGTGCTTGACAATCCTTTCAGTAAAGAATTTTTTCTTAATATCCAGTCTAAACCTCCCCTGACATAACTTGAGGCCACTTCCTCTCGTCCTATCACTTGTCACTTAGGAGAAGAGACCAACACCCGCCTTGCTACAGACTCCTTTCAGCGAGTTGTGGAGAGCGATAAGGTCTCCCCTCAGCCTCCTCTTCTCCAGACTAAACAGCCCCAGCTCCCTCAGCCGCTCCTCAGAGGACTTCTTCTCTGGACCCTTCACCAGCCTCGTTGCTCTTCTCTGGACACGCTCCAGCCCCTCAATGTCCTTCT